AATCCCGATGAGGTCATTGGATTTTTTTCAGTTGACCTAATCCTTCCAGCCGCACTAGGCCCTGGGGTTTACTCAGCCTCTAACAGAAATGAGTACAAGGAATTAATTAAATAATTTTCCTGGGGAGTAAAGTGCGGCCGGCGCGTAAGGCTGACAACCTTACCGCCATCTTTGAGCCGATTGTCCCTGTGCTTAACTAATTAAGCACTAGGTCATGAAGGCGTATAGGGAGTGGACGTATAGATCCACCTTTTCTTGACCTCGCATTAGCTGGAGGTAAGTGGTCAGCTTCACACCCCACCAGCTTTACCCCCGGGGAAAGAGCCCCCGGTACTCATTGGATAGGAGGTTTTGTGGACTCGAGAGTCGGTCTGGACGACATGAAGAAGATAAAATTATTGACCCTACCGGGCCTCGAACTCCGACCCCTCAGTCGTCCAGCCAGTAGCCAATCGCTATTCCGACTGCGCTAACCCAGCTCCTTTTATATCCCTCTTACAACACCAAAATTCTCAAGTATATTCTGTAATAACTTTTATGAAAAAGTGAAATATGCCGACAATAAAACAGCCAGACAGATGTACGCACTTCTCTCATGAATCATTCTTTTCATAAAATTCTTACGAAAACCCCATACAAATATCTTTGCCTCTCTGCCTTCAGACTTGCGTTTTATTTGTCACATTCAGTAGAAACATTACATGGATAAAGTTCATAATATCTACAGCAGTAGTTTCATACTTAAAATTCCGAATTTCAAGAATATTAACATATTTTCAAGTGTAGTGGGGTATGCTTGACGAAAATAGTGTGTTCCAGATCGGATGAATTTATTGGCAATTTTGTTACAGTATCTCCTAATTACAATTAATACAGCGCTATCGCTGATTTATACACTTTCCAGTTCACCGTTACACACGCACTAGGATTCTCAGTTTCCACTAGTCGTCTCCTGGCAACGGATCTCAACACAGGAAATATAATTTAAAATCACTACGAAGCCTTCAGTCACTCTGTACTATTCTGCCCTAATATGTATTCAACAAATCTTTACAGTTCACTAAGGACATGGTCTTTTCTTGTTCTTGCAATCTCAGCTGCTGAACTAATCTAAGCTGCAACGGGTCCTCGTTATATAGGCTCCGCACGGATTACACAGAAAACACAACTCACGTTATTGCTACCCAGGTTTCAGTGGAGCGGTGACTGCTGCCTAGCGACGAGTTATAACATTCGTCCTATTGCTGCGTACGTGTATCGCGAGGTGTTAATCGGGCCGTTGTCTAGTAATGCTTTTAGCAAATCCGTTGCAATATGTAGGGCTTCCACGGTTAAAATAAGTGACTGTTACATTATCGAATTAAAAAGAAACATTATTCCTCAAAGTTACTTTATTTTAATTATCTTCTTTGACTACATTATATTTTACATCACTTAATGTATTTTATTGGAAACATTGTACAGTTTTTATACTGCATGCATACCATCTTTGGCTTTCTGTCAGAGTACCTGTAAATAATTTATATTATATACATTTAATTCTGATATGCACCAGATCGGTATAGCTTTGTAGAAAACATCATTTGTATTTCTTTCCTTCTCTTATAATAGTATTACTGTGCATGGTCTTTACTTCTTACTTTATGACACTATAGCTGTGGGCATACAACGACTATTGAACATCAGGTTTACTCACTTCTGTGGTATCTGATCTCTAACGACTTGAATATGAGCACTCGACAAACATATACATAATTAATGAAATGCAGAATGCGATAGAATGCCATGACTGCCTTAAAAAATGGATAAACTTATATAAAACCTCGTATAACATCAATTATGTTATGAAATAAGACACTTCATAAATGTGTTTATCTTTTTACATGTTTCGAATATGAATCTGAAACACAGATAACCATTATAAAGACAGCAATGAATCAAATTATATTACAATGAATTAATAATGCGAATTTAATTCTTGGCAAGAATGTTATATTTCTAAATTCATGTACAGAATCTTGTAGAAGGATAAAGGCCTCTTTCCGCGAAATACAGTACCTTAAAAATATAGTAAATATAATATAAACTGTTGCGGTCATGAAAAACAAAATTAACGGCCGTGTGGATCCCTTGCACTGCCCACGCGACACCCTCTATCCTCTAAAGCTGACACTAACTTCGCCGACAAGCGGCTGTCGCTGGTCGGTATTGTTCGCTTGTGGACTAAAGCCACGGATTTTTTTAATATAAACTGTTACAATATATTTTTGTCTTTCCTCACATTGTTTTAAACCGGAAGATATATCTCAGTAACCAAGATGAATAACATATTTAGAATTAATCTTTATGCTTAATAAGTAGTGTCTTATTTAGGATACAGCCAGCATAAAGTTTACAGAAATTAATGTAATCTTGTTGAAGGTTACATATATTTCCCATAAAACATAAGAAATATAAACATGTCCTGACAGTGACACTAATTTTCTCGTATCATGATTTCCTTATTTCCTTAAAGGGGCAATTTCAAGAAGCAATATATAATCACATATAAAAAAGACTGAACGTTTATTCATTCATAATGTTTTTTCTCGAGCTCTTAAATTTTTTCAGCTTAAGTTCATAGTCTTCTAGTAACTTTGTTTACTTTACTTTACATACTTCACTCTTGATTGTCCTACATTTTGCACTCGATTGTCAACACCAAATTCTTTTTTGTTTCCCAGTTCTGTCAATCTGACAATCTGCTCTTACATATACGTAAGCAGGTAGAATACAGCTTAGTCTTGTTAAAAGAATTAGATATTAACCACATTCTCGATTAATTCAGACGAAGATACAAGGACTACTTTTGCATAATTCTTCAAAATCGGTGAATTTTCAAGTAAGTTAATACATTATAATAACATTAACTACAAGAATCTAATATCTGTTTCATTGAAATGACAGAGAATTCTTTTCGGGCAAGAAGCAGGGTGAGTTTTATTCGAATATTTTGAAGATAATCAAGCACGACCGAAAGCAAATCCGTTTATCTTTTTGGAGAATCCAGACGGAAATTTGACTGATTACGTTAGTCTGACCCCAATATTGATTCTTATTCATACACACACCCGATGTTCCGTTATCAAAAACCATGAACATTTTATGCAAACTCAGTTCTTCAAACTAGATGTATGAGTCATCTACTATTGCGTCAGTGTGGTTAACAAGAGCACCTTGAAAGCATAATATTGGTACTGACCTTACTAGTTCCAGCGGAAAATAATTCCGAATTCTCAGCTCCATAAATTTTGAACTTGTATACATTTAAATTCCAGTCACAGTGGCCTCCCGGTGTTGTGGGTTGAATCCCACTCCAGGCATTTATCTACCTATATTCTGTTTGTGTTGTCCTGTGTTTAGGTAGCTGCCTCGGGATGGAGTGCTCTCCCGTCTAAGGAGTCCTGCCGACTGCCAAAGATTAAGAAACTGAAATGAAGCGTTTCATGGCTGCCCTATGCTCCAAGTGGAAGGAACAGGAATATGAATGAATTAGTGAATACATTTAAATATAATAATATTAATAATAATTTCATTGTAAGTGTTTGCATCATTGGAATGAAATGGACAAAACACGTTTCCCTCAATTGTGCTCTGTATGAAGCCATAGTTTCATTTTTGAAAATGGATTTAAGACTCAAAATAACTGGGAGAATGGACAGAGTAAGTATTCGAAATATTTTTATATCCAAGACAAGGTACAGTAACGGGATATCTGAGTGTCACGAATAAATTTCTTTTAACCTCAAGATTAGCACGAGTGTCGAAATACGGAGTTTGAACACAAATTATAATCTATAAATTCTATCTTGACAATTACAATAAGATAATCTTGTTTCTAGACGTAGGAACATAGGAAAATAATTAATTTCTCTAATAAGCCTGAACAATGTAAGAAATATATTAAAGTCCTGACCCTTGATGCTGTGCCATGCATTTCAAGAGCATGTTCTCGGGCAGTCAGCTGTTGTTCAACTGCCTTTCCACATGACAAAGGCCCCTTTTATAACGGGAAATTTGAGTCTAATGAGGTCAGAAATATTTGCAATATCAGTACTCTTGTTCATAGTGGGGTAATAGTTCGTATCTTGTTGGTTTAAATAATGAAACGTTATTAACTTATTATAAATATGGCCGTATACAAGATTCACATTTTGACATGTATTTCATTTCGTAATTACATTATGATTAAATACGAGCAAATGGCTGGAATTTGTAAGTCATCACAGTTATATTCAATAAATTTACTTCAAATTCCATAAATTAATCTTCTCCTTATCTTTTACTGGTGGGAACAGTTTCAAGTGAGTTTTAATACAATTTTAAGTAATTAGTAATAACTCAAGAACTTCTTTAAAATGCCAGACATGTCAATTTATCATACGACTAGTAGGCCTACGACACTGAAAGATTTCTTAGATCTAAATATAAATATTATAAAGGTAATGTATTTTTTTCAGGTCTTCTGCTCCACAAATAATTATAAGTTTTAAACTTTGAATAATTATCTCTTAGCATACCATACCATGTGAGTAAAACTGAAGTTCTGCTGTTTAAATTTTTATGTTGGAATCTGAGAACCAGTCAAGGCAGAAGCTAGTTACAGAATAAATAGCCTATAGGCTATAGTACGTATGTTGCTTGGAGTGTCGTGAGGGAAGGACTGAGGTGGTTACCAATAGGAACTCGGATACGTGTTTCCTTTTCTTGCAGTTGTAACACGATTATTTACACAATACTAGGATTTCCATTGACTGGGTAAGGAAAGATAGAGCCAGAATATGTCGAAATTAATTTTGTATCTCTGGGACTGTGGAAAGATTTCGCCTGTTACATGTTCCGTATTAAAACATGCCAATGTAGCATTTGATACAAGCGGGAGAAACACTTTGACGGATTTCTTTTTTTTTTTCTTATTCAGTTTAAGTGTTTTTAAAAATACATTGTATTGTTAATTTTTAAAACATGATAATGTTCGCACATTTTCTGCTTAATTATAGGTCTACACATTATGGTAACAAATATAAATTAAACAATTTATTATTCCATCGCGTTTGTTTATGGGGAATGACATATACAGAACACAAAATAATATTTCTTCCGTCTTTCACAATTAATTTTTCATTATAAATATATTAACTCGCATTTACTTTCTCCTTATAGCGTGTGTCTTCATTTAAACAATACCGCACACAGTCACAAAATATTCTGTATTCCTTTTCGTCTTCAACAGCAAAGTCGCCACACAAAACTCTTCTCTCAGACGAGCAGAGAACATAAAATGCTATGTGAAGAATGTGCAACCCCTTTAAGCTGTGTATGTCCTAGTAGGAGATGCTCTCTTCATCCTTCTCTGTTTCATTGTCCACTGGCCTGAAACAGAGAGGAAGCAATGAATGTCTACAACTGACTCAAGAGCAACAAAGAACAGAGCATAGAAATTGACTCCGGTAACAGCTCCAGAGTGAAGACTTCGTGGAACAGCAGACTGGTTTGCGTTTCAAGACTTGAACTGTTCTTCAGTGTGATATTGTATTAATGTTTCAGTAGTCCGTTTCTTACTATGGGAAAATTTGACTAAGTTTAAACGGTCGAAGAAACCGAGATTAACGGCCGTGGAGATCCCTTGCGCTGACTACGTGACACCCTCTACCTAAAGTTGGCACTAACTTCGCCGACAAGCGGCGGTCACTCGGTCGGTACATTTCGCTTGCGGACTACAAACCACGGAGTTTTTAAACATTTATAAAATTTTATCCCGAAAACCTGAAGTGAAGAAATAATTTTGAAAATATTACTTACATTTTATGGAACCGGAATGTTCATTACCGTGTTCACAAGAGCCTTCCACTGGTCACAATCCTGAGCCAGATCTATCCAATCCATACCATTCATCCTATCTCTCTAAGATACATTTTAATATTGTCCACCCACCTACGCCTTGGTCTTTCCAGTGGTCTCTTTCCTTCTGGGTTTCCTACTAATATCGTATATGCATTCCTCTTCTCTCCATTCATGCTACATGCCCTGCTCACCTCATCATCCTTGACTTAATCATTCTAATTATACTTGGAGAAGAGTACAAGTTATGAAGCTCCTCATTTTGAAGCCATATAATGTTAAAATTGGATCTTGAAATGAGTGTTCGGGGTATGGGATGCATTTATGCGGCTCAGGACCACCTCAGATGGCGAAATCTTTTGAACCCAGTATTGCAAATCCGCTGGATTCTCAAGACGAATTTTGTTGTGTGGAGTTATTTCCTCTTCGATGCACCAAAGTCTAGTCTCAGCATTTGATACACAGGTCTAAATCAAGAGAATGGCCAACCAATTAAGATTTATGTAGGTAGTACAATGAACATCCGCGACTGATGTAGGAATATGAATTTTCGTTTTTCAGTAATTTCGCAAATTATTTGTAAACCATAGGCATATTCAGTGCTGATTTCTGTTACGCGCGTGCGTAGAATACTTTTACGTCATATGGTTTCTAAGTTTGAAAATCATGACAGGCGGAAAGCAGTTTTCAGTTAAAGAATACGTGATGTCATAGAAGGACAATAATTTGTAGACAAAAGTAACAACTCTCATCAAAACAATCTTCATAGCCACTATGATTAGAATCGGTTTAAGCTCAACAACTCTCATCAAAACAATCTTCATAGCCACTATGATTAGAATCGGTTTAAGCTCAACAACTCTCATCAAAACAATCTTCATAGCCACTATGATTAGAATCGGTTTAAGCTCAACAACTCTCATCAAAACAATCTTCATAGCCACTATGATTAGAATCGGTTTAAGCTCAACAACTCTCATCAAAACAATCTTCATAGCCACTATGATTAGAATCGGTTAAGCTCAACAACTCTCATCGAAACAATCTTCATAGCCATTATGATTAGAATCGGTTTAAGCTCAACAACTCTCATCAAAACAATCTTCATAGCCACTATGATTAGAATCGGTTTAAGCTCAACAACTCTCATCAAAACAATCTTCATAGCCACTATGATTAGAATCGGTTTAAGCTCAACAACTCTCATCAAAACAATCTTCATAGCCACTATGATTAGAATCGGTTTAAGCTCAACAACTCTCATCAAAACAATCTTCATAGCCACTATGATTAGAATCGGTTTAAGCTCAACAACTCTCATCAAAACAATCTTCATAGCCACTATGATTAGAATCGGTTTAAGCTCATAGTAATCCGGGTGTTTCACATTTTCATTGGATGTGAAATAAGGACGAAAGGCAGGAGGATAATGGAAATTAATTAGACCAATAATGATAGAGCATTAATTCGAAAGGTAGGCCTATCTATATTACTGTATTTGTATTCAATCAAAGCGGATTTATGGAGCAGAGCACCATTTGTGGCAATTACTGATATATCCCATAAAAATTGCACGACGCATGCCTGAATTGTGGCCAAGCAGGACAATCTGTTAGAAAATTATTACAGTGATACGATCATCTATTCGATAATACTGATTGTAATAATCAGAAAATGAGGCGGGGGGGAGGGGGTTGGAGGAGATTTTGGTTGTATAACAGATTTAGCATATGAACGAACACCTGTGTTTTCAAAGTTCATATGTTTTGTTACATTCGTTTGGTAATTTGCGAATAAACAGAATACTAACGCGTTCAGAGATTGTTCATTTAATATCAAACGTGAAATTTCAAAACAAGCAAAATATGAAAGCAAAACAGTAGTTGCAATACAGTTCAGTCTACTAAGTTGTAACAGAAGCTATATATCTACCTATTCGTTAGTTATCTTCTATCTAATTTGTAAAAACATAGAACTGCGAGATGCATAATCGCATATACTCAGTTCATTTGTTTCTACAGGGTGATTCATACAGAACCGGCCCGACGAAATGAGCTGTAATATAAAATATACCATACAGATATTAAAGTAATTTACACATATCTTATCTTGGATTGTGTGCCGTGATCAGAGCAGGTGTTTAAAGTGTCCGCCGTTTTCAAGTAGGCATTAGAAACACTCGCTGTTCAACAGTGTACTCCATGACTGTCGCCTGCACACTGCAGACACGTTTCGGCATTGTCCTTGACCTTGCAGCATAAGGGCTGCCACTTGCCGGATCATGCGCACACCATTCGACTCAGCACGGCCCACTGATTAATCTATCGTAATTGTGAGCGGCTATATGCATCATCTGCGGAATTATTAACAAATTCATCGGGCCGGTTCTATACGATTTACCTTATATTAAGAGCATCCACTCTCCTTTAGAAAGAAGTGCAGTATGTGCCATTTTACCCTAGGAATTACAGTGGTTGACCAAGAATATTGTCGATACTGTTCACTCCAGCGCTTCCACAAAATAAGAGCCTTCTTAATTTGAAACAAAATAGTGTTCTGAAGCGGTTTTGTTGAGTACCAGAGTACTCATAAGTAAATGTAAACTCCTTACTTAATTATATTAAAGTCATAAGTAAAAGCAAACAAACATCTCTAGTTTGAACTGAAGATGTTGAACTAGAAACAAACGCACATAAGCATTCATGTCTCATCAGATTTCTTTTTCACTGGCTTTAGGGCCCCTTTTGGACCTGGCCTCTGATTTTNCTATATGCATCACCTGCGGAATTATTAGCAAATTCATCGTGCCAGTTCTATACGATTTACCTTATATTAAGAGCATCCACTCTCCTTTAGAAAGAAGTGCAGTATGTGCCATTTTACCCTAGGAATTACAGTGGTTGACCAAGAATATTGTCGATACTGTTCACTCCAGCGCTTCCACAAAATAAGAGCCTTCTTAATTTGAAACAAAATAGTGTTCTGAAGCGGTTTTGTTGAGTACCAGAGTACTCATAAGTAAATGTAAACTCCTTACTTAATTATATTAGAGTCATAAGTAAAAGCAAACAAACATCTCTAGTTGGAACTGAAGATGTTGAACTAGAAACAAACGCAGATAAGCATTCATGTCTCATCAGAGTTTTTTTTTCACTGGCTTTAGGGCCCCTTTTGGACCTGGCCTCTGATTTTTCAGTATCATGATCATTTTACAGAAGGTAGGACTCCTTGGACGGGTGATCAGCTCGTCGCAAGGCCTCTGCTTAAACATAGGACAGCACAAACACAGAATAAATACACGGCTCGGCTACCGTGACCGGCCGTCAACAGAATACATGACAAAATATCAATATAAATATAGTTAATAAACCTTTAAACAAGCATGACACAAAGATGAAGTAAGATGAAACGTGGGAGTTCCGCACAAATTTTATTAAGAAAGCTTGTATGACAGAGTCCACTTGGGTAATATTACAGTTATTTTAAAGACATAATTTATGATGGCATGGAGTGGATTACACTAGCTTAGAACAGGATTACGCGTCCGGCACTTGTGAACACTTAATTCATATTCGGGTTCCATTAAATGTTCGGAATTTCTTGATCAGCTGAAAAACTGTCAGGTTTTCAGTGAGGGCTCCATGGGGTTAATTAGTTGCAAATTCATGGTTTGCATGGAGTTAATTATGTGTTAAGTTTCTTTTCTCTCTTATTTCATTGCCATTTCAAATATAATTAATAAGAAAATATCGCAGTCACCATGTTCATAATTGCAAAAATATCCGCGAGGGAACGTAACCTCCATTTCTAATATTAAGACTTTAAAAAAGAATAATATCAGTTTTATGCGTTTTCGCATTACGCGGGGTTTTACAGGAGCGTAACCTCCAAGTAAATCAGGCTGTGTTTCTATTTTACACATGGTACATTCATGGATTATCTTTTCGTCCTCAACTACGCGTTGAACCATATGCGTTAGCATTAATTCAAGATTGGTGTCAGAACTAAATCAAGGCCTTTTCATGTGACGGCTCTATCTTTGTGACTCACCAGTCCGAAGGTACTGGTATGCGCAGTTGCAGACACGAAGGCCCTGCGATTAGACATATATAGTGTTTGTAATACGAGCTTACTATTGGTGAGTCATATTATCTGTCCACGAAAACGCCACTGCAAGGAGCTATATCTGCAAACACAATTTCACTATATAGAAATGCATGTGGAGGGTTGAGTAAATGTTGACTTGGTTCACCACTCGGCAAATACTCGTATACTCGTACTCTATGCCAATTGCCTGTATACTTCTATAGGAAAGAATATTAGTTGAATGCTTGCAGTATAGCGATTTACTCGTATGCCCTTAAAGTTCTGTAGTTACCACCTTTACCTCCTGTCTGAAAATGTCAGTAACAGTCACTTCGGCCCCAAAATAAATTTATATGCTTTGATTTTTAAAAGGACTCTCGGAGATTCTTTTTATTGCTAATGGGGTGGGACTAAGCCCCTTGCACTGCGGCCACTTCTGGCCCATT